TGCTGAATACAGCAAGCCTTTGCTGGTACCAGTCTTTTTGTGCGTTTTTTAAACAGGCTTACTTAGGTTGGAAAGCTATCTAATTTGTCTATTGTTTCACTGTTTCTATTTTTCCCCATTTTTTTATTTTTTTATTTTTTTTATTACTTTGGAGGTGGAAGAAGTTGAGAGGCTGGAGGCTCATATAAGAAAATGTGATAGTCAGGGAAGAATGGGAAGGTGCCTTGAGTTTGCATGCTCAGATGGAAAGTCACAAATTTGCATGCAAGGTTGTACTGTTTTTCCTCCCTAGCACTGCAGAAAGCATTTCTAACAGGCTGCAATTATACTGAGGGGCAGGAAGGAGAGGTATGGGGAAAGCAGACAACAAAGGAAAACAGAGCAGTGCTTTTAAATACAGTTCACATCTTTGGGAAAAAATAGCGATGCTCCCATCTTCTCCCCACTCCCTTTCTCTCTCTTTTTTTTCTGGGAAGAGAAGGAACATGAGGAGCAGTAGGTGGTAGGAGGGTGCGTGGAATGTGAAGAACTAGCAGAGGACACTATGTCTAAGGAGGAAAAAAGGGAAACAAACTTATACTAAGATAATTAAAAGAAAGACACCAGCAACAGGCTCCAATTTTGGGTTCCTGGTGTAGATAGAGTTGGCTCATTTTAAATCTCCAGAATTAAAGTTGAAGGAGAACACCTGTCGATACCTTTTCAGACTTTTCTATGTACCAAGCACTCCTTCCCTTTATCTTTAAACTGTGCATCATCCTTACATGCCTGTGCTGAGAGGTTTCTCAGGGATCATGCAGACTGGGAGGGCATCTGAGAGGCCTGAGCATAGTTGCTGGAGCACTGTGTTGAGAATGTTTCTATGGCTCAATCTGTGCTTGGAGGAAGAGTTCTGGGATCCCCAAGTCTGCCTGTCATGGCCTGGCCCCTGGGTGGGGGTGGGGGTGGGGTGGAGGGATGTAGGAACCACTGAGGGGGTGCCTCCCTGTAAGAGCCCAAGTCTTTCATTCATAAGGGAGGCTGAGAGACATTAAACCTGTTGCCAAAAGTCCCAGAGGTATTTAATATGTCACAAGTTTACTTTTTAAAATGTATTATTCAGAAATTGGGAGAGAATTAGGATTAAGAGCACAGACCATCTTGAAATGAAAAACTGTCTGACTGCAAGGTAGTTAGGATTGAAAATAAAACCTTCCTGGAGCTTTTTTGAGAGACACTTTATTGAAGCTGTTAGGAGCTCTGACTGTCCCTTTCCAGAACTCATACGCACAAAAGCCTGGGGCCTTTCTTGTAGATTTCAGATGAGTTTCCCAAAGTCTATAATGTTACAGATTGACTAGTGCTTCCAGGGAAATTTTTTCTTAGTGCTTGGGTGAAGGGATTAAGAAGTATGAAGAAATTATAAATGTTTTTTTATTTTCTTGGGCTAGTGGACATTTGAATTTAACTTAAGAATTTTGAAATTGACAGCTCACTTAATGTCATTTCAAAATTTCTCTCTACCATATGTACATTAAATAACAGTCCAACATGACATCTGGACATGGTTTTGAGACTCATGGAAGCAAGCAGTAGTCTTGGTTCTGGAATACACAGCTTATTATAACAAATCTAATAAAAGGGGTAAGTGCTTCATCCACGCCAAGCTGTGGAAAGAAGCTTGGAGGAGAGTCTGGCCTCAAAACCTCTCTCTTACATGCCTGAAAATTTATGATTAAACATTCAGTCCTTTTTGAAAATACCAATATTTTCAGTGATATACCATCTCATATTCATTATTAGTCTATATCTGAGGCACGAAAAAAAGCTCATGGTGAGATAAAGGGGTTTGTTAACAGCTACGGAAACAAAGGAAAGAGTGATAGAAATGATAGGTACCCAGAGAGCAGCTATAGAGAGTTTTTCAGCCCAAACATAGACTTCATTGTGTCAAAACTGCCTTAGAACCAAGGATCCTGAACTGACTTTAAGCTTAAAAAATCTGAAGACCTGACCACTAATATTGAGTAATTCATGAAAACCACCTTCAGAAATTAAAATCCTCCAAACATTATGGAAAATAAAAAAAAGAAACAAGAAAAGCAATGTAAGAAAGTATAGGAATGCTTCTTCTCAGATATTTCTGAGAGAAAATGGAAGTCTAAAATCTTAAACAAAATGTTGCCTCTTTCTCACTTGACTCATTTTAGTTATCTTGGTTTGTGCCTATGATTCATCCCTAAAGCTGTGAATTGCTGAGGAGGAAGGAGGTAAAAAAATGGACTTAAATGTCAAAGAAGTAGGAACATAAATATAGTTTTCTTTTTTGGGGAACTAGAATTCCAAGATATGGGGATCTTTTTCTCATGAGGAATTAAATGCGTCAAACTTGTAGAGAAATAATGATCTCCAGTCAAAACATCATCAAGGAGTAAAACAGAATCAATTATGAGTCATGCCATGTCTGAAGTTTTGCTTCCATGGTGTCTATGACTTTTCTCCCAGTATTCCTCAATGCATGCCCATTAGACTGGAAATGGGTGATATGTAGTTAGGTATAAATGGAATTCCTAAAGGAGGTGAGGAAGAAAGGAATGGCAGTAAGCAAAACTAAGAAAAATTAGTCTTGGGAATGGGAAGTAACACATGGTTGGATGGTGGCCACATGGTATTTTGCCTGCTAAAGATATCCCACTGCCACTGAGTCAGTTTTGGCTCCTGAGTCACCACTGTCTTGATCCCCATGGCTTTGATATAGCTGCCCCTCAGTTTACTAGGTGGTACATCTCTACAGTAGCAGAACAGCTGGTGGGTTTGAACTGCTGACCTTGTGGTTAGAAGCCCAGTGCTTATAATAGGTGGCACCAAAGCTGATTTGGTGAAACACCCTCCTAAGTAAAGAAACATGTTTTCTAATTCACTAGTGTCCTCTAGTTGGTTACCATTTTGAATTTGTGTAGGTTGTGAGAAGAACATAGCAGTCCCTAACTCTACTACAAGGAGACCTGGTTGTGACATGATTAAAGTGCTCAGCTGATAGCCTAAAGGTCAGTGGTTTGACCCCACCAGGTGCTAAAGAAAGATTTGACATTCTGCTTTCGTAAAGATTTACAGCCTTGGAAAGCCTATGGGGCAGACCTAAATGGCCACCATGAGTTTGGGGTGGGCTTACTCTGTTACTCAGCTCAAGGGTTCACTGTCTGCCATACCTGGCCTTCTCTCCGTTCAGCTTAGTCAATAGCTTTATATTTGTCTCTTTCTGCTCTTCTGAGCAGCGAAAGAACTATATGATAGTTGCAAAATTAAGGTTTCAGGACATTATAGGAAAAGATTATATAGATGTTAAAAAAAAAATAGAGTTCTAGTGACTTTGGATTCCCTACAACCCTAAGTCTGAGAGAGCAGGCCCAGGGTAGTGTGAGTGTGGATTTCAGTACCTGCCCCTGCCCGCATAATCCTTCAGAGCACTTTGCACGGGTCATAATCCTTCAGAGCACTTACTTTGCCCAGGTCTTTACTGAGGGCTCTGCTCATTTCAGGCATTATTAGGAATTATTTCTCATGAGTGTGCAGCTATAATCATGCCATCTCGTCACTCAAGACCTGGTGTCTCAGCTAATGTGACAAATGTATCCTGATAAGAAGTTAACAAGTACTGAGAAACTGAAAGGGACTCTCAAGGTTTTATGTGAGGAAAATTGGAGGCTCTAAGTCACTTTCTTACCTAAGGATTCCGTCTTTTGCTTCTTCAGGAAGACGCCATGGCTATGACTGCTATTTATTATGTTCTCTAGTGAGAGATTTTTCAGGACCATAGCATATATTTTCCAGAGGGCTCTTGGCTACCCTCATGTCACACGTTGGCCCACTGCTTTGGTTACAAATCCAGTTATTTTCCAACTGGGATAATTTAATTTCTGAACCTAGGTGGGCCAAAGATCTGTTTCTACTTTCTGTTTCCATGATCGATTTTTACCTTGTATGGCAGTAATAAAGGCAAACAAGAACAGCAAGGGATAGAACCAGAAGGTAAAGGAAAGAAAGAAGAGACTTTCTTATGTTGGCTTTCTAATGTCATTGGTATGAAACTTTTCCTTTGAAAAAATTCATGAAAATGCTTTCCCTGTCCACTTCTTTAAAATGTTCTCTTTTATTTTAATAAGTTCCTATTATAGAGTGGTCACTTTTTTTTTCAGTGTTCTTGGTTAATAATTTGGTTGGTTTTCTTTATCCTGACTGCTTTAGTTTTTGTATTTGTTAATTTTATTTTTAAGAGATTTTATTTTATAATGTAATATAAATATATCTTTAGTATAATGTACTTATGAGAAATATGGAATCAAAAACGCTTTTAAAGTACTAATTATTTGGAGCATAATTGTTAGGTCTTAGTTGAGTCCTACCTCTGGATCCATATGCTGATATGTTCCAAGGCTCTGTATTCTCTCTATAAGTAATATTAAATCAAACCTAGCTTATAAGAATCAATTTTTGTAGTTTCAGTTGAAATACTGCTATTCATCTGAATATAGTATAAATAAAGGTAAGGAATACTCATAAGTGTATTCTTTAAGACAAGAGGCCATTTTTAAAACCTTACAGATTGCCCAAATTTAAGAACATGTATCACAAACCTAAACATAATATCCAGTTTTGAAGCACACATTATTTCTCCAAGATAATAATACTTTACTGCTCAATTATCTGAACAATTCAATGATGAAGAGTTTCCCTGATGGTTTAGTGGCTGAGCAACTGTTCACAGATAGCGATACATCTCATTGACCAAGAATTTTATTTTTTTTCAGAAACCATTCTGGATTGTTTCAAACCCTTCTTCAAAGTTGCAGATTCAGCTTATGGTCTATTCACGGTACATCTGCATGGCCATGGACTTTGAAGGTACTGAAATATACAAGCCAGACCTTGCAGCACACCACCATTGGCTGTTATGATGTTTTCAGCTCCACAGAGTCATCCAGTCGGATACTAGAAATTAGGCAAGGTGTTAGACCACTTACTTGAGTGTGGTGAGTTCTGTAAGGGATGGCTGGGTGGCCTTGAGATAGCTTTCTCTTCTTGCAGCAACTTTGGGAGAAGGCTTGGGACTTGTGTCAGAGTCACCACTGTCTTCATCCCCCATGGCCTTGATATAGCTGCCACTCCGCATTCTTCGGCATGGAATTTCATCATCTTTACCTCGAGGAGTATATCCTGACCACTCATCTTGAGGAACCTATTCAAATATAAGACATGTAATAAACGTTCTGATTAGTTTTCTTAGAAAAAAAAATATATTTTTTTTTTCCTTTCTTTTTTTGGGGGGTGGGTGAGTATGGCATTGAATGGGTTCTGTTGTGGTGCTATAGGATAAGCACTGGACTGCTAACCACAAGGTCAGCGGTTCAAATCCATCAGTTGCTCTTTGTAAACTCTATAGAGGATCGCTATGAGATGGAACCAATTCGACAGCACTTAACAACTTAACAATAACATGACCTTGCATGTTGCCAATATAGATGACTGTAGAACATTTTAGACATTTCTCCAAGATAATAACACTTTACTGCTCAATTAACTTCTCAAGAATAGTGTTTTATAAACCATAGGTTTGAAAATAGTTTGAATACACACAAATCCATGTCTCAATTTAAAAACAAACCATATAGGAAAAACTGAAACCTTTTGGCTCTGATTCATTTATATGTCTCCGTCTTCTCACACTAGTTATAGTTAAGTCAGGTAGAAATATGGCATTGAATAGAGCTGTTTTCCTTGAAATTTTCAATTGTCTGTGTTCAATTTCCATTTAAAATTCAAGAATACTTCCTGTGTTATCTCTGCCCTCCCTGAACCTTCCAGCTTCAACTTCTGGTATCCAATTTCTCATCTTCTTAAACTAGTGGTGTATACCAACTGCATTCTCTTCCCAATTACACAATTTTTCTTAGTCCCTCTTAATTTGGATTTAGGCCCTATAAATCTACAGAGAACACTCTCTAAGGGTTCCTAATGACTTCATCCTGAAAGCTAATGATATTTAAAAAAATCTTTATTTTTCTTGGCCTCCACACAACTATAAAGAGATCTGATAGCATAGTGGTTACAAGTTGGTTACAAGTTTGAAATGACCAGCAGTTCTGCAAGAGAAAGATGAGGCTTTCTGCTCCCGTAAAGGTTTACAGAGTTGGAAACCCTATACAGGGTCGCTATGCATCGGAACTGACTCCATGGCATACAACCAACACCACACAAATATACTCACACAGACCAGTTTTTGAAAGCTTCTCTTCTTTTATTTTCTGGTTACTCTACTATCTCTCTCTGTCTTTCATTTATCAATTTGTGATTTATCATCTATCTGTCTATCATCCTATCACCTACTTGTTGTTGTTGTCAAGTACCGTCGAGTCGGTTCTGACCCATAGCGACCCTGTATAGGGTTTCCAAGGAGCAGCTGGTGAGCTTGAACTACCAACCTTGCAGTTCAAATGGCTTTGCAGTCTGGTGCATTAACCCCCAGCACCATACCAGGACTCCATCACCTACTTAGCATCTATGTATCTACTTACCTACTTACCATTCATCTACCAATCTATCATCTCCCTATCTACTTACCTATCATTCAATCATCTATTTATCACCTGTCTATCTATCTAATTATCTATCTATCTATCTCTATCATCTATCATCTATCTATCTATCATCTGTCTATCTATCTATCTCTATCATCTATCAACTGTCGCAGTTAGTTGCTATCCTGTCTATTCTGATTCATGGCAACCCCAATGTTTGCAGAGTAGAATTTTTCAAGGCTGTGACCTTTCAGAAGCGGATCCCCAGGGTTGGCCTTCATGGCTCCTCTAGGTGGGTTCAAACTGCCAACGTTCTGACTCATAGTTGAGTGTTTAACCATCTGCCCCACACAGGGACTTCTCGTATGAATTGCTTACTCTTGTTTTCCTGTATCCTACTCTAAGTCCCTAGGTCTGGGTACCACACAAGACAATGTTCTCAGCACATTGCTCTCTTCTCTTTCACATTTCCTTCAAATTCAGCAAGACACTGCAGTTCATTTTAGACCTTCCGGTGCTTTCTTCTATTCTTAGAGTTACTTCAATATGAATTCAGCCTAGGTTCTCATCCCTCCTCCACTTCTCCACTTTCTTTAATCCATCAAGAAACAATAGTCTGCAGTGCCCAGAACACTGAACAATGCTCAATTAAGAGAGACATAAAAAGGGGAGGTTCATTCTTTCCCTTAGATGTCAATAATATATATGCAAAGACAAAGCATAAAATCAGTTTGGGAATAATTCTAAGTCAACATGTTAGTAAGTTTACAATGTGGTGTTATAAATGAAATCCATTCCTAACTGGTCTTAAGTAAAATTTGTAGGTAAAATGGGACAGGTGTGTTCAGTTATTTAGCCTTACTTTGGGGTAAGAATAGGAGTACTAGTGGTGCTGTAGGATAAGCAGTGGACCACTAAGCACAAGTTCAAACCTACCAGCAGCTCTATAGGACAAAAATGAGTATTTCTGCACCTATAAAGATTTACAGCCCCGGAAACCTTGTACAGGGTTCCTATGAATCGGAATTGACTGCATGGCAGTGGATCCGTGCAAGAAAAGACTCAAGACACTTTCAATGATTTAAAAGCTACACATACAGCATGTGAATGTGATTGTGATGAAGAATTAGTTGCAAATAGGGATTGGTGCAGTCTTTTCAAATTGAGAGAAAATTTATATAACATCAAAGGGCAAGTGCAAACTGTCCATTAGTCAGACATTTGTAACCTGGTGAATTACGCTAGGAGTTGTTAGTAATGGTGATGGGGGAAGGCTTATTCTGGAAGAGCTGCCTGGAACTGGCCAGGTTTATAATGAGAAGATGACAATATACTCACCAGGGTGACATGAACTATTTACCAATTATTCATTAAAATAAGACAATATTTAATTTTTAACATTTAAATTAGAAAAGGTATACACCAGGGTTGTATTCTTTCATCATACTTATTCAACCTGTATGCTGAGCAAATAATTTGAGAAGCTAGATTATATGAAGAGAAATGTGGCATCAGAGTTGGAGGAAGACTAATTAATAATCCAAGATATGCAGATGATACAAGCTTGTTTGATGAAATTGAAGAGGACTTAAAATACTGACAAAGACCAAAGATCATAGCCTTCAGTATGGGTTGCGCCTCAATGTAAAGAACCCCAAAATACTAACCAATAACAACATCCATATGAATGGAGAAAAGATTGAAGTTATCAAAGACTTCATTTTGCTCAGATCAACCATCAACACTCATGGAAGCAACAGTCAAGAAATCAAAAGATATATTGCATTAGACAAATCTACTGCACAAGGCCTCTTTAAAGTGTTCAAGAGCAAAGATGTCAGTTTGAGGACTAAGGTGTACCTGACCCAAGCCATGGTATTTTCAATAACCTCATACGAGTGTGAAAGTTGGACAATGAATAAGGAAGACTGTAGAAGAATTGATGCATTCAAGTTATGGTGTTGGAAGAGAATATTGAAAGTATCACGGTGCACCAAAAGAACAAACGAGTCTGTTGAAGAAGAATAGTTAGAATGCTCCTTAGAAGCCAGGATGGCCAGACTTCATCTCTCATACTTCAGACATATTATCAGGAGGGACTAGTCCTTGGAGAATACATTATGCTTGGTAAAGAAGAGGAAGATCCCCAATGAGATTGATTGACACAGTGGCAGTAGCAATGGGCTCAAGCATAGCAACACTTGTGAGATTGGCACAGGATGGGACAGTGTTTCACTCTGTTGTGCATAAAGTCACTGTGAGTCAGTACTGACTTGATGGCACCTAACAAAACCAATTAGTTTACTTGATCAGCTTTCATCAACCATTCTGTGAGGTAAGTATTTTTTTTTCTGTTTCTCTGGTGAGAAGCAGGAGCTCAGAGAGCTTAAGTAACTTGCTAAAGAACACACAGCTAGTAAATTGCAGCATTTCAGTTTAACTGCAAACTTCTGCATTTAATGAACTTGAGTTTTATGATTGATAACATGTGGCTTTAAAATTCTAAAGTATGGAGAACGAACAAGATGGCAGATTGGGTGGACGTATAGCAGAGAGCTCCGCCAA